TTGAATTCCATAAAAGAGTTACAATCTTATTTTCCTAACAAATATAAAAGTTAATAACTAGTATATATTTATTTATTTATCTATCAATTTATTTTATTTATTTGTTTTCTTTATTTATTTAGATAACGTCACAAATCATGATCTTTTCCGTAATTTACCCCTTGAAGAAATGATGAAAATGGCAATTTTCGGCCAGACGAAACACAATATATTGGCTGATACTTTGTATGTTTATTTGGTGCCAGATAAATTGGTGGAAACTGGAAAACTTGGTTTTCCTGAAACAACTTTCTTAAAAGGTGGTGCTGCTGGATATAAACTTTTAGATCTTATAAATATTAATCACAAACATAGGTAAATATTAAACGTCATATTTATTTTTATATTATTAACTGGGAATTTACTTTTATTAATTAATTATATTGACATTATTTTTTCTCTAACAAAAAAAAAGATTATCACAACTTATTTATAGAATGTTGCTTTTTGACGGAGAAACTACACCTAAAGTTCCCCCTGAAGTAAAGGAACAAAATTCTAATAAATTTCTTTGTGTATCACCACATGCTCTTGATGTTGTTTATAAAATTGTATATAGTGCACCTTGGTCGTAAGTGCTTGAGTTTTTTTCTCTTCTTAATTTATTATTATTATTTTTTTAATTCATCAGGAAATATCTAAACATACATACATACATACAGACTTGAATTGTTGATCAAAGAACTTCTTGAAAAATACAAAAAATTTGATAGAACAATCAAATCAAAAGCAGGAAATAATGCTCCTATAGCGGAAAATGCAATCAGATGGCAACATACTATTTTACAAATTTTTTGTCATCGTTTCCTACGATTTTTAAAGTATTCTTCAAAAGCACCCGAACTTTTAGGTTATATTAAACATTCAGTCTCTTATCTAGATCATCGTCAAACTTATCGTGACGTTGAAACATTTGCTCTACACATAATGGTATAACTTGTAATTAGACTATATATATTTGGATGAATCTAATTAATTAATTAACTATATTTATATATATAATATATAGATGATACAGTCGAATGTTAAATTTATCCAATCTATAGCTGACTCGTGCAGAGATAAAGCTATTTGGTTTGGTGAATCTGAACTTTTGGCTCGATATATGATTTTTACTTTGGCTCGATTAATAAAGTTTAGGTTATTCATTTTAATTTAAAGCAAAAAAAACATATTTAAAATAATATTTATATTATATCATTCATGAATCTATAATAACAAATAATAATGATAATATGTAAATCTATTATAGAGGTAACGGTGACATTCCATCGGAAACGATAAAAGGAATTATTAATAGCATTTATCCACAACCACTTCAATTTTGTCAAACGACTCTTTCTTTTTTCCCTGAGCCACTACGATCCATTCTAACACAACAAAGATCGGCTATGGGGGGATCATTCTCACAAAGTTCTGATAAAGATGTATATATATGCATACTATTTACTTATTAAATTATCCATCCATCATTTAATTAATTTACAATAAAAAAAACCCCCTATAGAAACAAGTTAACTCTGCTCTAAAAATAGGAAATTTATATAGATTATTAATGGGTCAAGCTTTAACTCCAGAAGATGAAGAAATATTACAAGTGCATTATTCTAAACTTGAAAACCAATCAATATTTTTGTGTGTATTTTGGAGGATGGATTGGAATTGTGGAAGAGAAAGTAACCAAGAACTTATACCAAGTAAAAATCAATAATTTATTTGTTTGTTTACGTACATAAATAATCATTATTATTAATGTTTTGTGAACTAATTTTCATTTTTAGTAATACGTAAAATCTTGATCCAATTCCCGCCTTCCAGAATGGCTACTTATACCATCACTTTAGTGGATTTTATTATTGAAAAGATTGATAATGATCCTAAAAGTCCTTCTATAGCGGTAAAAAAAATTTTTTCCTATATATGATGTACAAATAAATACTTTTTAACTAACAATCTAATACCAGTCACTTTTTAAAAGTCTTGTTGTCAAATGTTAGATGAATTGATATGGAAATATCAAATCGTCGCATTTGAACATGTTCTTTTTGCACTGGTCAGAGGACATCGTGAGAAAGATACAACAGCATTTCAGATATTGGATTATTTACTTTTTAAATCGAAAAATTTTTCTGAACGCGTCGAGTATTTTATTTCATTAAATTTTGAACCTAGATATTGGATAGAAGATGATCATTATAATAAAATGATGAAATACGTGGAGAGATATCCGGAATTCTTTCAGTATGAAGCTTATGCAATGGATGGATATGAAAATATTATTTCGGAACTTAAACCTCCCTCTGTTACAAATATGCCAATATATTACAGTACAGTTATTCGTAGAACTTTACCAATATTGGACATTGTTATTGGAAAATTGATTGAATTCGGCGAAAAAGAATTGCTTATCAAATTGTTAGACAAGTATCGACTCCTTTATAGATATCATCAAACTTTGTTAGCATTTGTTAGAGATTTACTTTGTTACTATTACTCGGTCCCTATTGTTAGAGAGAAGGCTTTTTGTAAAAGACTAATAAGATTACTTGGTGAATATATATATTATATAATATACATTTATTTTAATGAGAAACATCAAATAATTTGTTTTCTTCTTTAATATACTAATACCTATTTAAATAGATTTTGATGAATATGATATTTTACCTGAATTACTCAAATATGGCTCAGATGATCTTTCCAAAGAACAATTATTTGACATCAGTTATTTCGAGAAAGTTTTCCGAAAGTTATCAGATTGTAAATTTCAGTTCAAATTATTGTTGTTGATGTTTTCTTTTTTTGTTTTTTCTAAATTAATGACTTTCCCCCAAAAAAATATTATTAGCAATGTCGCCAGAAAAATGTGCCCCGAAGACAAATTCAAAGCTTCCAGAAAAACATTTTCGCGAAATACCTAATCCTTTAGTACAAGGTTTACATATAGCGTGTGTAGAAGTATTTACCACTTCCATAAAACCTGCAGATTTTGTCAAAGTTTCATTGGACATTGTTCTTATGAATGGTAGAAAGGGCGTTGCTTTGCAGCCTATGGTTTTATATGCAATAGGATTACTTTATTCTTTTCTACCTGTTGATGAATTTATTACAAAATTATTTGATGAATTGGTAACAATGATATTAACAGATCCACACCTTGGAGAATTTTCACAGGCTTTTAATTTGGTAAAATTTTTTTTACATATTTTATATGAATCTAAAATCTTTTTTTCCTCCTTTGTTAATTTACTAAATTTTTAAATGAAATTTATAGACTGGATGTTCCTCAAGTCAGTTTTCATCTAACAATGATCCATCTCAAAATAACAAAAATGGTTCAATACAAGACATGAATACAGAACCGTCATCATCATTGCCATCATCACCATCAATACAACAAACATTCTCAACATTATATCCATTTATTTTTAATGAATATGAATCAAATCTTCACAATTTTACAACAAATGCACCTAATAATTTCCTAACTTTTATACATAGTTTATTACACTATTCAAATTCTGATGTTTTACAGATCTTTTGTGACAAGCTTTTGACTATTAATGATGGAATAAAAACAGATTTACAATTGCTTTATTTGTGCGCACTAATTGGACCTATAATTTATAGATTAGAACAAATTCCATTGAAATTATCAGAGGTACTAACTACATTATATATATCTTTCTTTTTTTTTTTGAGATTCTATATTAATTTGGAAAAAAACTTTTTATAGTGTATATTGCATATTTTTAAATCATTAAATAATGTTGCAAATAATATGAATTTGGAAAAATATGGAGACACAACTCAAGCACTGGAACAAGTTTATGATTTTTTGTATCCTTTTGTTTTACTATTACGAAAAAATTGACAAGTTTCTTTTATTTAAAAAATTAATATTTTCTTTAATGTTTTGTGATTTTTTTTAGGCATTACGTTAAGACTATTTTAAATTTAACAAGTTTAGAAAACATAGAAATGCAAAATGTTATTAAAACGATGAAATTAGCGGTTCAAAGTAGATTTTGCAGTTTTTTGAAATGATTATCAAGCTTCTTAAATAAATTCGAATCTTAATCAAAATTATTTATTTTGATATACAAGATTATATATACAATAATTTGAAATATATCGACATGAGATTTAAACAGTTCTCCTAAATTTTATTTAGCTGTTCATAAAAATAACTATTTTGAGCCCACTTGAGACATTTTCACAGATTGCTTGACCATTTCGTGTAACATTCATAACTTATATAAACAAATGATTTAAGGAATTCGACAAAAGTTTCTTTCTACCCATAAAAATATAACTAAAAATTGTTAATATATTTTGGGAAAAAAGGAATAAATACCAATATGTTGTTAAATGGATTTCGAGTTGAAATCATAGTGAATGGCCAACCTTTGAGTGAATATACTGAGCCATTAAGTAGAAATGAAGTAAAGTTTTCTTTTGAAAGATTATTTATATATATATAAGAAATTCCATTTATTAATATTTAATCATTTTAAAAGAATTTGGCAACTAGTTCATCTTATACGCGCGCAGATAAATCTGCAACGCAAGACATGTGGTAAATTTTCAATTCTCAATCAATAATTTTTAAAATATATTTTTATTCATAAAATTAATTATTTGGTTAATTAAAAATAATAATGACGATGCGTTACATTTGTCTAGTAATTTGGTTCATTATGCTGCAGTTGAAGAATTCGGTGTACGTTACAGCGTGAAATATTCTGCACCATCTACAAAATGTTCTATTAATGAACCAATAAAAGCATTTTTGTATATTGACGGGGAGTATGATTATTCGTATGGTGATCTAAATCCAAATAATTTGTCAGAATTAAGAACATGTTTTTGGAGTAAAAATCGAGATAAACTATATTATTTTAAATTTAATCCAACTAATTGGTCAGAAGATGATGATAATAGAAGAAGTAATGTTTCAGCTAAAAACAATAATATTGGCGGTCCAGGTGCAATATCTGTTTATTTTTATCGTGCCAAAAGAGTTCGTTGGCACGTTACAAACACTCCTGATTATTCTGTTGAGAATGCAATTGTTCCTGAAAATAAGAACACCAGGTCAATAAAACTTTCTACACAATACGATGTACAGCCAGTTACAAGACCTTCGAATGTAAAATATGACACTTATTTACAAGAGGAAGGTAGTCCCATAGCAGCTCTTCATCTCAACTATCGGCCTGCTGCATGGTTAAGAAGTCGTGGTCATGGTCATGGTCTTTCTAATTATAGCACAATAAGGTCACCTCTGTCTTTGTCCACACCAAAAAATCTTGTGAAAGTTGAAGAGGGATTAATGGAATTAATAGAAATAAAAGAAGAACCGATAGAAGTAAACGCCATCGCTAGAAGGGGTAAACGTAATAAAAAGAATCCCGAAGTTATTGTGATTAGTTCTGATGATGATGATGCTTCGTATGATTCTAAAAGATCCAAAAGATGATTTTTTAAATATTTTTTTGAATTCACTTAAAGTCATGTGATTTCATATTTCTAGTGAAAATCCTACTGGAACATTCGTGAAAATTACGTCATCTTGATTTTTATCTATTTAATTAGTGTTCTCGAAAAAAAAAAAATTTTTTTTCCAATCCTACATCTTTTTTATAACATAAATATATATAAATAGATTTGTTATTTTATTTTACGATTTTTTACCTCTATTCCACCCTATAAAATAACTAACACAAATGGCTGATAGGTAAATTGTTTTAAGTATAATTATGACAAATAAAATTTTATTATTTTTGCATAATATTAAATGATATGTTTTTTTGATCTTTGCGTGTTTTAGTCAAAAACCTCTTCACCCTGAAGTACTTTGGGCACAACGAAAAAATGAGATTTATGTTACCATAAATGTAACTGACGTTAAAGATCCAGAACTTAATCTAACTAAAGATAAAGTTTATTTCAAAGGTTTAGGAGGCCCTGATAAGAAACTATACGAACTTGATTTGGATCTATTCAAGGAAATTAATCCAGAGGTAATATTTTTATTTACTTCATCAGAACAAAAGGAGAGATCTAGCAATGACTCAAAAGACATATTAAACATGTTAACATGTATTCTTATCGATTAATTAATTATTTATTTTTAGAATTCAAAACGTTCAGTTAATCCGCGTAAAATCTTTTTGGTTCTTGATAAAGCTGAACAGGATCAACCTTACTGGGCACGTCTTCAAAAAGATAAAGTTAAACTAACATTCCTTAAGACTGATTTTGCTAAATGGAAAGATGAAGATGAAGATGAAGATGAATCGGAAAATCCTTTAAGTAATATGGATTACAGTGGTTTTGCAAATCCTGATGGTGGATTTCCAGTAAGTAGTCAAATTTATTTTATATTATTAATCGTTCACAATAAGATTAAAATAATAATAATAATAATAATAATAATATGACAAAAACAAATATTAATTAAAATTTTTTATAATAACAACAATAAAGTATGATGATTCTGATGATGACCCTACTCCAGATTTGGAAGAAATTCATGACTCTTCTGCCAATATTAATCAAGAAGAAGCAAATATTACTGAAGAAAATATTACTGGAGAAGAAAATATTACCGAAGAAAAAAATATTACTGAAGAAAAAAAGGAAGCCGATTCAACCTAAATAATAATGTAACATATTTTTTATGATAAATAATAATGATGACTTTTCAAATATGTATTATAAACAAAACAAACAAAATAAAAATATTTAATATATAAACATTATACATGTATATTTGTGATAAGTATATATATTATATTCATTTATTAAATAATAAAAATAATTTTTTTAAAAAAAAAAGCAAAATATAATTAATTTTTTTTGTTATTTGTGGATTTTTTGAAGATTTTGGAAAAAGGTTATTATTATAAGATCAGATCCTTCGTTAGAAGTAGAAGTAGTACGAGATAAATTTGGTGATATATTAAAAAGCATACAATCAATACAGCATTTACAAGAGATTAGAATTTGTTATTGTTTTTATTAATTAATTGTAAAAATAGTGTACAAGGAAAAAATTTTATATATAAATATATATGTAAAAGAAATGCTAGCATGAAAAAAAATTTATTTATAAAGAAAGCAAAAAATGATTATGACTTTATACAAATTTTCAGAAAAAAATTAAATGATTTCCCAATTTCTAAAATATTAAATGTAAAAATTACTAAAATTATTATTTTTTAGTGTCAATTATAATTAATTAATATTTTCTAATGTCAATTATAATTAATTAATATTGATAATAATAATATCTAAAAAAGAAAAAAAAAGGAAGTCTTCTAATATGAATTGTTTTCATCAATTCCTGAAAAAACTTCTTCTTCTTCTTCACTAACATTTTCAGGTATGATGCCATAACAATCTTTGTAAATGTTCTCAAACGATCTGCATAAATTTTTTAGTCCAAACAAATAACCTTTATCAAATCCTTCATTTGAAGGATATTTACAATCTTTTGCTTCATAATCACTTCCAGTAGTACAATGTGCAAAATCAATTATTCTAATATCAATTTCACGTGGATTTTTCTCATCCCCATCATAGATTAGTAGTAAACTGCTGGCATAGAATCGATAATTGTTAAGACTTCTAATTATTTTAGCTAATCGACGAAGTTTAGCTAGAATTGTTGGAATATGGTGTCCTAGTAAGCGACCTCCATTATGTATAAAGTCTGCTAATGACTTGCAAAATGTTTCAGTGTTCAATGAACGTCCATAATATTTATCTTGAAATTGGAATTCTTTGGTAGTGGTTTTATAAACCTGTATATACAAATAGATAAATAAGTTAGTGATGATTGTTATAAAATTAACAACACTAATCTTCCTAAAGTAAAGTCTTTTTGATCAAGTACCTGCATTCCACAAATTCTTACGCCTAATTTTTTACTAGTAGTTTTTGCACATTTCTTCGTTTGACTTTTGCATTTTTCTGGTGCTGCATCAATTCCATGTTGACGTGTTCCCATCTTAAGATCCAACACACAGGGATATTTTAATCCGCCAGTAAGATCTTCAAGCAATATAAATTGTTGAACTTTATCTGATTTATCATCATCACTTTTTTGTAATTTAGATAATTGTGTTGTGTAGCAATGAAGTGACCATAGATTATTATTTGTTTTTGTAAAAGCTGATGATGGTGATGGTGATGATGGTGACGATGGTGAAGGCGGTGATGGTGGCGGTGATATAACATTGTTGTTCGTGGTGCAAGATGATGTAGATAAAGATTTAACATCTGGCGATTTTTCATAAAAATTATCTTTTTTATGAAATTTAATTTCTTCGGGTGTTTCCATTGTTGAATAGTCTGTTCTGTTTGGATAAAGTTGAATCAGATGACCATCTGATATAGTACGATGTTTCTTTGAGGATTTGTCAATTATCAATGTTTCAGCTAAACTTTTCGACGTTGAAATTCCTTGGGTATTATTAAATTCAGGTTTTGATAGAGCATCGACACTTATCATAGAATGTCGTCTTTTAATTGATGCGTCATTTTGTAAAGAACATACTTGACGTATACGAGTGCTTAATGCACGCGGAGAAAAAACCTCTTCAAGTACTTGTTCTTTTAATATCTTGTTTACTTTGGTTATGGAAGAACACAATTCATTTTCAATTTCCATTGAATCTTTACTATAATCATTTTCTTTATCCGAATTAAGCAAGTTATTATTATTATCATTGAAACTAAAATCTTTATCCAAAGAATTTACCTTGGTAAGCACCCAGTTAGGTAAAAGATGCTTATTCTGTTTGAAAAAAACTTCTGGCATTGGACTATAGTTATCTTCATGAGAACGATAAGTAACATTTAAAACACCCAAATATTTAGGAACAAAAGGTAATAATTCAGGGTGAAATGTCTCTAAAACTTCATAGAAACAATGTTCTCTTTTTGCTAATGGTTTACACACAGCTTTTTTTGAAAAACGAAAGAATGAAGTATGACCTCCAACTTGATTATCAAAAGGCGTTAGTTGAACTGAAGGTGGCGTAGATGGATCACTTAAAAATTTGTTTAATTCTTCTTCACTTATGTTATCGTAGTCATCTCCATCACTATTACAATTATTATCATCAATGTGACTATTATTGCTGCTGTAGCTGTCAAAATCTGTATTAATTCTAATTTCAGGTTTCAAATTATGTTTTATAGGAATTTGTTTAGCTTTGTGTTTTGAATTGAAGTAATCTGTGATTATTGGTGAATGAGGAGGGTTGTTATTGTTGTTGTTGTTGGATGTAGGTGATGGTGTTGAATCTTTAGTTAATACTATAGGTTGAGTGTTGACTACAATACGATCAGGTAAAGATGATTTGAATAGATTTAAGGAAAGTGATGACTTGCGACCACTGCTAATAACAGGAGTTGGTGTCTCAAATGAAGAAGAAGCAATTGATGAACATTTACGAATAGGTTCAGAAGCCCTTTTCTTTTGAACTGGTAAAGAAGATTTTGTCTTTTCGTTAAATGGAATAAAATTCAAAGTTTCAGAAAGTTTCCTTTGTTGATTAGGTGGTGATCCAAAATTTTGTGATAAAGTATTTTTTGATGTTATGGATGAATTTTTTAAATCATTTAGTTTTTGTGTACTATTTGAACGATGATTATTCAATGCAGTAGATAAACTTGATCTAAAAATAATCAAAGGAAATCGATAGAAATAGTAAGTATTAGCAAAAAAAAAAAAAAAGAGTACATATATATAAGAGAAAAAGTTACCTTGATGATGTTGATGATGTTGATGATGGTGGTGATGGTGGTGGTGATGATGATGATGATGAATTGTTTTCACTACAAGAAACTAATGACTCCAAAGAAATGCGAGACGTGGAAGAACTTAAGTTTTCTTCATATTTTGGAGAAATAGAAGTCACGGAAGAGGTGTTTCGATAGTTATTGGGAAAAATTTGTGTATCATGAATATTGGGAACGGGTTCTGTAATGGCGAACATTATATTTGTAGTATAAAGTTTTTCTTCGAGAAGTTTTATAAACTGATAACCAAACAGGTAAATTATAAATTTGTTTAGATTAGCGTTTTAAATCTTGAGGTAAAAATTATTTCTGATACAACTGAAAGAAAATAAATAATAATAATAAGAGAACTGAGTAATGTACAAAGTATTTATTGTACAAATTTAATATTCTTTTAAGGTTTAAAAAAATATAGTTATTAATACTATGTTAATATATATATATATGTTTTTCTGTGATCTTGTTGAAGTATGTTTAATGTTAAAACTTAATAATATTCAGAATTACTGAACTATGCAAGTTAACAATTACTTTGGACGAAAACTCAAGCTTGAAATTGTAAACAATTCAAGATCTTATTTTTAAGATTTAAATTAATTTCTTTTTAATTCTAATTTATGCGATTTTAATAATTCATAACATTAAAAAAAAGGAATAAGTTACCTTGAAAAAGAAACAAATTTAATAAGTTTTTGTATGATTATCTATCTTATTTATTAATTTCTATAACTTTATATTTTATTACTTGTGCGTGAGAATATATATATACTATTTAATTATTTTATAAATAGATTAATTTCCAAAATTTTAAAATTTAAATTGAGAAGAAATCGACTCTTTTATATTTGGAATTTCTAACCATTATGAGGCACAAAAAAAAACCATTATAGTTGCAAAAAGACATTTAAAACCAAAAACCTTTACAAGAAGGTCTCGGAAACTTCATAATAAATCTATTGGCTAGTTGCCGATCTTGAAGCTTCCGGGGTTCATTTAGCAAAATTAGCGTTTTGATTTTAATCGAAGAATTCGTTGCATTTTTATTTGCGTCACAAGACTGTTTATGTACTGATTCAGGATAGTTATGTGAATATTATGCTATTTTTTCTGCGCAGTTAACAAATAATCGTGGAATTCCAGTCCATGCGTTCTAATTAATTAACATTTATCACGTGTAAAAAATTTTTATTCAAAATTTCATTAATACTAAAGATAGTCAATTTCAAAAAAAAAATTAATAATATTAATAATGAAATTTAGAATCAATTCCAAAAAGCAGGAAGACATAAATAGAAAGGCACTTATTTCGGATATAGACAAGATAGAGAATTCTTTGCACAATAATATATAGGCACCTTTTATTATCGTTCCTCTAAAAGGATATTCGTAGAACAATGCTAACCAGCCAATCAGTCAAAATTCTAACCGACTGAACTGTGAGATTATCTCATGGTGCAACATCAAATACTCCATATACGGTAAGCGAATAAATCACATGATTCTTTTAGGTTGAACCTGTGACGATACCCACCCTCAAAATCATGTGATTTATGGCGGTCCCGCTATGTGTTATGTGAAAACAATGTTTAATAGATAATTAAATTTGGAATAATTTGGTTAGATCAACTATTGTTTTGGTAATTGATCCATTATTCTTCATTTCCTATAACAGAGAAAAGCGAGAAAAAAGCCCTGTAGTACAAACCATTTGGTAACAAATACTACCAGAACTAAGGAAATTGACTAACTGTAAACTTGGCGCACGATAATCCCACCAATCAGACAATTTGTCTTGTTCCATCTATCTCTTAAATCTACTACGATAATACCCCAATTTTTTTTATTTGTCAATAATAATTATGTGCGTGTAACAAATAAACAAGTAAATAAATAATAAAAAATAATAAGTACATTGTTTTTTTAAACTTAATATGTTGATTTGATTGATTGATAAATTTGTCAAATTCCGGATCGAACTTAATTGGGTGGTTACTATCTTCTGAATTCTTTTATAAACAACTGAAAAATGGAAAGTTGAAATTTTTTTTTCTTCAGGTTCTTATAGCTTACTTTCCCTAACTTAAGTGAGCGCAACCACCCCTACCAATTTTTTTCAAAATTTTACAAAAATTTTTTCTTCAAAAAATTTAATAACTTTTTTTTAAAATACAGTTTCTTCTTCTTCTCTACTTCTTTTACAATAATAATAATCCTCCTTTTTGACATTTTAAAAACTTTTTTTTTAAATAATCAACCAAACTAAATTTCAACATGCGTGAATGTATTTCTATCCACGTTGGTCAAGCTGGTGTTCAAATTGGAAATGCCTGTTGGGAACTTTATTGCCTTGAGCATGGTATTCAAGTATGTCGTTATATTACTGTGTGATATATATATAAAATATATATAAATTAATTATAACAATAAATTATCCAATAATAATAATAATAATAATAAATAATTAAATCGCTTTCCTTCTTTTTATTATTGAAAAAATAGCCTGATGGTCAAATGCCATCTGACAAATCTGTTGGTGTCTGTGATGATTCCTTTAATACTTTTTTTTCTGAAACCGGCTCTGGCAAACATGTTCCTCGTACTGTTTTTGTTGATTTGGAACCAACTGTCGTAGATGAAGTCCGTACTGGTACCTACCGTCAATTATTTCATCCTGAACAATTAATTACTGGAAAGGAAGATGCAGCAAACAATTATGCTCGTGGACATTATACCGTTGGCAAAGAAATTGTTGATCTTGTACTTGATCGTATTCGTAAACTTGCAGACAATTGTACTGGTCTTCAAGGTTTCTTGGTCTTCCATTCATTCGGTGGCGGTACCGGCTCTGGTTTTGGTGCATTGCTTTTAGAACGTCTCTCTGTTGATTATGGCAAAAAATCAAAATTAGAATTTTCTGTTTATCCAGCTCCTCAAGTATCAACTGCTGTTGTCGAACCTTATAATTCTATCTTGACTACTCATACCACTTTGGAGCATTCTGATTGTGCTTTCATGGTTGACAACGAAGCTATCTATGACATCTGTCGTCGTAATCTTGACATTGAGCGTCCTACTTATACCAATCTTAACAGAATGATTGCACAAGTTGTTTCATCTATTACTGCATCACTACGTTTTGATGGTTCCCTTAACGTTGATTTAACTGAATTTCAAACCAATTTGGTTCCTTATCCTCGTATCCATTTTCCACTAGTCACCTATGCACCAGTCATCTCTGCTGAAAAAGCATATCACGAACAACTCACTGTTGCTGAAATCACAGTTTCTTGTTTTGAACCAAGCAATCAAATGGTCAAATGTGATCCACGCCATGGAAAATATATGGCTTGTTGTTTATTATATCGTGGTGATGTTGTTCCTAAAGATGTGAATGCAGCCATTGCCACAATTAAAACCAAGCGTACCATTCAATTTGTTGATTGGTGTCCAACTGGTTTCAAAGTTGGTATTAATTATCAAGCTCCAACAGTTGTTCCTGGTGCTGATCAAGCTAAAGTTCAACGGGCTGTCTGTATGTTATCAAACACAACTGCAATTGCCGAAGCTTGGGAACGTCTCGATCGTAAATTTGATTTGATGTATGCAAAACGAGCATTTGTCCATTGGTACGTTGGTGAAGGTATGGAAGAAGGTGAATTCTCTGAAGCACGTGAAGATTTGGGTGCCTTGGAAAAGGATTACGAGGAAGTTGGTACAGATTCACCCGAAGGAGGAGAAGAAGAAGAGGCTGATGAATATTAAGCTCAAAAAAAAATTACAAAGGAATCAAGATCTTAAATAAAATAAGATAATTCATTTTATTATGAAATTTTTAATGTTTTCAAAAAAAAAAATTTTTTAAACTTATATATAGTGTTTTTCAACTTTGTAATTTTTTTTATGTACAGAAAAAAATTTGATGGAGTAAATTTATTCTTTTATATTACACACTTTATTTTTTATTTTATTTTGTTGGTTTTGGTTGGTATTAAACATAATATATACAAAATATTATTTCATATAATATTTTATTATTTTATTTTTATTTTTTATTTTGTTATACCACCATGCCAACAAAAAATTATATAAATATTATTATTCTTATATTATTTTAAAATTAAATTCTTGCATCTCTCTCTCCACTTGGTGCTGAGAGGTAAAAAGAATAATTTTTAAAAAAGTGTCACTTTATATATTTTATATATATTTATTTATATAATTATATTAGCATTTACTCCACTTTTTTTTCGATTTTATGCTTATAGCCTCTTCTAATAAGGTTTTCAAGCGTATATGAAACCTAACAATAAAAATATTTTTTTAAAAAAATCAGCGTCTCTAATAAATCATTAAAGAATACACCACATGGACACCATTTGTAGTCTAGGTTCACCGAATTATATGTAAAATATCACAGAGATCAAAATTTACTGATTTTTTATTAATTTAAAAGTACACATCTGGAATTTTAAAAGAATACATCATATACAGCGTGAAAAATAGCATCACAGATAATTCAATAAAATTATTTAAAAACCTTTTGATATGAATTACTATTACCAAAGTTGATTCGCATCTTTACTAAATTTTTTGACCTCTACTAAAAAAGTATTAGACACCCCAAAAACAAAAAAAGATCAGACAAGTTTGCAGCTCAAGTTATAAGAATTATTAATATAAAATCTCATGCTTCCCAAGTTTTCTAGAGCTTTATCAATTAAAAATAAAATAATTTCGATTATTTTTGAAAAAGGGAATTTAATATAATAATAACTGTTCTAAAGCCTACATAATAATATGTTTCAAAATTTTGTGATTTTCTTTCAATTTTTTCTCTTTTTATCACAAATGCTCAATTAGATATTCAATCATGGCTAATTGTGCAGAACAATAATTTCGTTTGTTGAAATCCAATTTTTATAATTAAAAATTTTTCAAAGGATTTTTGTTCAAAAAATTACAAAAACAACGTCCATGAAAATTTAGATAGGCGTTTTTTGAACAATTGATTTTTAAATGATTGACAAAGAAATTTTTATTTGTTTACATATTTTGTGAAACTAGACTACAAAGCGATGATTTTTATTTAATTGTTTAGTACGTTTTTGTGCAATTAATTATTTTAAACGTGTGTCCCACGTAATGTATATATAATACTAGAACAATGATTTCACGTTTAAAAATGATCAACGTTATTTGGATTAATTAATGCGGGCAATGTTCCATTTCCCAATCCTTACCTTAGCAATTAAAGATTACAAAAGAATTTTTCTTGGATTAACAAAAATTTAACAAATTAATAATAAATAATAATTATGGATTAAACGGAAACAATAAAATATAGAAAACACTGTTTTTTTTGTGAATTTTTCATTTAATTTTAATTACAATAGTAATTGGAAAAAACAACTTTTTTAACGTCAGAACCCGAGTCAGAATTATCTGGAGAATTTTTTCCGTGACAACATATTAATATCACATGCAACTCTAGCCACATCCGTATTAGTTGCTTAAACCCGTATGTTATCTTTTGTGCATCGTTACATGGAACTCTCTCTCTTATAAGTAAGTGATTTTCATTATTGTACTTTGTGTGGTATTTTATCCCTAATAAACACATCTCGGGTCAGCCAGCTTTTCAGCCCCACCAAAAAATCTAATTTCTAAAAAAAGTCACGCGTACTAACGATGCTTATAATAATAACCATTTTCAACAGAATAACTGGCCGCAGAATTAATGCGCATTTATATAATTTTAATTGGTGCAAAAAATTGAATAATTACTAATTTTAGGAGTGATTTGAATAATCAGATGAACTATTTGTGGATAAATTGTTACTATAAACGATAGTATTTGTGGGAGGTTTTTTTTTATTGTTTCGTTTTCTTTATCTTCTTTCATTATTTCGTTCTATTGTTTCTTACTACGTTATCAATTTTCAAACTCGTTCCGTTCCTTTAAATACTTTTTTCGTTTATTCTTACGATATTCGCCGTCCTCTTTGGAGTCTTAAATTAATAAATTTCTTAAAGAAGACTATCATGTCGGAAATATTGTAATTCCAACCACCATTTCACTGACTGTGACTTAACCGTTAGTTAATCCAAACAGAAACTTACTGTACAATCTATTATAATAAACGATACTTTGAAGCAGCAGTAGGAAGAAAACGTGCGAGAACTAAAAAGTAACGGCGGAAAGAAAAAAAAGGGCTCATAATGCTATCAAGCCAATCGTATCAGAAAAGACTATTTGAAAAGGCCAAAAGTAAAAATGGGAGGGAAGAAAATTTTATGTGGTGGGCGGGTGGATAGAATTATTTTAGATGGCAAAGAAAAAAATAAAAACTTTCAGCAATTCGGGCTGGGATCGGCATCTGATTTAAAAATGAATTGATTGATTCTTGAAAATGTTTAATATCTAAAAAATAGATAATTATGTTAACGAGTTAAATATATATATTATTTTTAAATATCGCTAAATGTAGTATATAGTTTTAATTTTTTTTATTTCGAATTGTAATTACTTTTAAAACAAAACCATATTAAATCATCTTAATATCGATTATACATATATATACAATATCATTATACAATAATATTATTAAAATTTTTTGCCATAGTGAGAGATTTTTTTTTTTTTGAAAAGAAAAGTTAAAAAGAAAAAAGAATAAAATTTAATCTAACAAACAAAAAAAAAAAGGGAAAATTTAATCGAGAAAAAAAAAGTAAAAGTTATATAAAAAGTGTATAATGTATATAATATATTATATATATACATAAATATAAAAAATTATATTGTTAAACAATATGAAAGGTAAAAATAGATACATTCATTGCTTCAGAAATTGTACGATACGGATGGCGACGTAATTCTTTATGCCAGTTTATCATTAGTTGATGATATGCTAATAGTGAACCTTCACGATCCGTAGGTTCTGGCATACTGCGTATTATCGATGTTGATGACGTCGATGGATTTGATGACGTCAATTCATTTGATGACGTTAACTCATTTGATGACGTTGACGTATTTGACGATGTTAACGTCTCATTATAATTGTTGGCAAGGATATTAGGAAAAGTGTTCGTGTTATTTATAATTGGATTATCATCAATATTACTAGCAATATTGATAATTGGCGACTGGTCAATTGTAGGAATTGTTGATGAATGTGAAGACGAAGATTGGCCAAAATTAATCCATTCATTTAAATCCAAAGAATTTGCGTCATTTTGTTTTTGTTGTTGATCCTGTGTTTGTGATTGTGATGGTGATGATGATGCGAAATCATTTGATCTAGAGGATTCTTGTTGTTGTAAATGTAATTGTTGCAATTGCTGCATTTGATGTGGTTGTAATTGTTGAGAATTTGGTTGTTTACGATGTCTTCTTTTAACTTTTGCGGGCCAAATTATTTTATAACGTTGTTTAGCAACATCAGCCAACTTTTTGTATTCAGCTTTAACGTTAGCCGGCTCTTTTTTCCAACTTTCGGAAACCATTGGACTGATCTGAGTCATTTGTAAATTGATACCACGAGAATGCAGTTCTTTAACATAAGCTTTTCTGTAAATGATAAACGCGTTACTGGATTTTGACGGTTTGTCACCGTTTGGTTTAGAAGAGACCAATTCTTCAACACTGATTACGGGAGGAAAAGGTGGTTTAATGGAAAAGATCGACGATGACGTGTTGGAAGGAAGAATGGGAGTAGTAACAGGAAAAGCAGGAGGAGGAGGAGGAGAAGGAGAAGAAATGACTGTAAGTTGTTGTTGTTGTAAAGGTGAAAACGAGAGTAACGGATTTGTATCTTGCGAGATTACAGGAGTAGTTTGAGCTGAATTGTTTGCAGTTGTATCATTACTACAGCTGCTGCTGCTATTATCACTGCTACCAAAGTTACTTCCAACATAATAATTATCATGTGTGGATGTAGTAATATTAGAGAAGAAATCATCAATTGACATTGAGGAATTTTCGATACTTTGGAAATTAATATTATTTGTTAAATCATTTCCTTCCATCATAAGTTTAAAAATATCGTCAGAAATATTATTATGAGAAGAATTGTTGTTAAAGTATGAATGCATAACAAGCTCACTAAGATGAATGAAAGAAAAATTTGATTGATTCTTCAAAAGATAGACGAATAAATATATATGAACGTAAAAATATATTTTAATTGTATGACGAGGAATGAACCTGAAGAAAATAATAAGAAGAAAAAGACTTGATATTTATATTTAAAATTCGATTTTAAATATAAAGTGTGTTAATAAAAAACGATGTTTTAAAAATTATTTTACTATTTATAGTTTCTATATTATATATATAAATTTTATTTTATGTAATATGAAGCTAAACTTTTTAAATTATTTTTTAATTTTTGATTTTTTTGAAGATGAGTGCAAATTTTTCGGTTATTTATATAAGGTTATAAAAAAAAAATGCGTTATAATGTATAAAAAAAAAATTTTTTTTATGCAACTAAAATGAAAAATATATTTATTAATTATTTTGTTATATTTGTTATTTTTAATCAGATCTATAGCACATTTATTTTCTACGGTTAATTCAAGTCATTTTCCTTTTTTGATCGAATTAAAACAGAATGCAGAAAATAAATAAAGAAAACCAAGAAACCCAACAGAATTAAATTCGATTAAATATAGTAAAAAATTATTAGTAATATATTGTTGGAATGGATTCAAATTAGTTTGGTAAATTATAAGTGGCTTAAAAATTAAGACTTGCCAAAATTTATCACATAACCTATTTATAAATAAATTTAATGTTAAAAAGCGGGTTGATTATTGATTATTAATATTAGAATTTTAAATTGCTTCTTAATTTCTTATGTACATCTGCGTGTCCAACGTTTGTAATGTGACTTTTTTACATTGTTGAGTTGAAGCGAAGTGGCGAGTGAACTAATTCAAGGAATTCAAGCCACAACAAATAATGACACAAAAATTTTCCCATTGTGTCAATGAAAAAATTAACGCATGGGTGCCCCAGAGATTTTATTAATCATTTAGAATCATCCAGAATCATTTTAAACTTAATAGACAATGGGAGCAAACAGGAAATGATATACAAATTATTTGACTGCTAATTACCCGATATCCTCAAGAAAAAACTCATGTGCCCTATTGTAGAACCAATGATTACCCGTTTTGTTATTCTAGAATTCTAAATTGTATTCCAAACTATATACTTATATTTTTGTGAGAAACGCGCGATAATATTTTATTATGAATGGGCTATGACGGAAAAATTGCTCCGTTGATATGGGTATAGCTAATAAAATAATGATTGGTGCGGTGAAACTAATTCATCATAAGATTTGTTCCGCTCTTTTTAATCACTAATAATAGATAGTTAAGTTATAATTAAATAAGATTTATTATGTGCATATATATATGTATGCAATCTATCCAATTCAAGCATTAAAGACAAAAAATATTTTTTATTTTGAGGTAAAAAGCATTCGCGTAAAATTTGGCTGCTTCTTTTTTTTTAATTTGTCATACTAAATGTTCAAAACAATAAGAACTCAAAACAATAAGAATTTCAAATTACCAATTAAAATTTAAATACACCATAAACAATACTATTTAATAATATGTGTATAATAAAACGTTTTGATTACTCACCTTCTTTCAAAACCAAATCTAAAATAAAAAACAAACAAACAATAAATTATGTATGTACAAATTTCAAATGAAGAAAATTCTTACTGTTTTAATGTGATTAAATTATTAAATCAATTGTTTGTTGTGTTTTTTATAATTATAACGCGTCAACAACAATTTCATATCGTTTAGCACAGCATTTTTATTCTAGTATAAAAAATTTTCTCCCGAGTAATCCATAAAAGAGTTTAACAATGACGCCACATTAATTAACCACTAGAAATTCCGGCCAGCGTAATTCATTCCTACAATAATAATAAACAATATTTCACAAATGATAAATAATAATATAGTAAATATGGAAAATTTAAAGGGCTTTTACTGCTTTTTTATTTATCCCAAGGAATGGGAATGGATTGTTAGTTAAAAAGTATTTATTTGTACATCATATATAGGAAAAAATTTTTTTTACCGCTATAGAAGGACTTTTA